ATATGGGTCCAGGGTTATCAAATGAAGTGTCTTCTGTCATCCTAGGCACTTAAATCGTCTTGTCCGGGATAGGAGGTGATACTAAAAACTTTTTTTTAATTAAATCTATGAAGGGTCCACCTTGTAATTTTTTTCGAAAAATATGTGTTCAGGATTATCAAACGATATGTCTTCTGCAATCCTAAGTCATTAAAATTGCTTGTCCGGATGCGAATGCTTCTGTACAACTTTTATTACGAGTATTTCAATTTGATAATGGACGGAGAATCTGCACACCCTGTAGTTTTTGAACAGAATTGTATTTTGGATGTTCTAGAGATGTGCCCTTTATTGTCCTAAACTGATAAAATTATCTATTTGTGTGCAGAATCTGGTCTGCGAATTTTTATATTTTATGGATAACTTTTATGGCTAACTTCACTCAAGTCACTTTTCCTGAAAAACAATGATAGTCGTGGAAATAAACCACTGAACCTCTGAAATCTGTGCAGTAAGATGGATCGTGATACGGTTTTTTGCATTCGATTCGTTAGAGCGTCCAGAGAGTTTGTGACCCTATGTGATCAATGAGAAATAAAAATTGCATCGGTGCATAAGAAAAATGCATTTTTAAAATTGCAACTCGTAGAGTTAAAATATGAGAAATTTATAACTCGGAAAATATTGACGGAAATGAGTTCAATTTTGCTACTCGGGGGTTTTTGGGGTCGCTGAACACGAATATCACGACGGCAGCGGTCTCCGAGGTACCTAGTGCCCTAGGGTGGCCGGTTTCAACGTCGTCTCCTGGAGTTTTGTGGAAATTCGTTATAAACTTAGCCGAAACTCGTTACCTCGGGGTTTTTGGAGTCGATCAACACGAATATCACGACGGTAACGGTCTCCGATGTACCTACGAGTAGTAAAATTTAACTCATTTCCGTCAATATTTTCCGAGTTGTAAATTTTTCATATTTTAACTCTTCAAGATGCAATTTTAAAAATGCATTTTTCTTATGCACCGATGCAATTTTCATTTCTCATTGATCACATAGGGTCACAAACTTTCTGGACGCTCTAGCAAATCGAATGCAAAAAACCGCATGACAATCCATCTTACTGCATAGATTTCAGAGATAAGGCCGTTTTTAGTGCTTTATTTCCTCGACTATGACATAACAAGGGAAGAATACAGAAAAGTCAACAGAAGAGTTAAACAGGAAGTTGTAAGGAAAAAGAGTCAATCTTGGGTAAAAAAAGTGCGAATATAGAATGCGAAAGTAGGTCTATAAGAAAATAGGATCTGATATAGGGAATATAACAGAAACAGAGTGGGTTCGTCATTTTAACTAATGGAATAGGAACGACAACCTTCTTACGAGAACATCATGAAATATCTAATGTGACTCATATAAATCTCCAAACTATCCAAGTTCGTGAACCAATAGCATACACGAAGCTGAAAAAGTCTCTAGGGCCCGGAATTCATAAAATATGGACCTGAGAAACTTGTAAGGATGCCAGCCGGCCTTATATGAAAGATGCCTAATTGGTGATCAAACATCTAAAGAACGGAGAACTTTCTATACATCCACTATTTATAAAAAGGGTCAGAAAATCCAAAAAATGAATGTGTTGCTGTCATACCGACAATAGGAAGGATTTGATTGATTACTTGAAACCTTCGAGCATATATTACTGGAGGTAGCATGCCATTGCGAAAAGTGTGGCTGAGTGTGCGAGAGAGACAGACCATATCTTAGTACATGCTGTCTCACTCTAGCACTTACGCGATTGGTTGGAAATGAATGCTCGCGCTAATTGGCTCCCGCAGTTAAAGCGAAGAATGAGACAGCATATACTGAGATACTGTCTGTCTCTCTCACACACTCAACCACACTTTTCGCAATGGCATGCTACCTCCAGTAGTATATGCTCGAAGGTTGAAACCATATGGAAAATCACATTGTCAATAACAAGACAAACAACCGGAGCAACAAGCAGGATTTCGAGCATTAAAAACGTAATCAACGAAATAGAGAAACGCATGTTTCTTCCATAGTTGAAAAAAGCATATGACAGCGTCCCAATATCAGAGTTGTGTAGAATGATGGAAAAACTAGATATAATACCGGCTTTAATTCAGGACATCCAACTGTATTATAAACATAACTCTTGCCGCAGTTAGAATTGGTACATCCTGCTAATATTATATAAGAACATCGGCTTAAGGAAGGTAGGTTAGATGAACATAGAGGCAGAATTAGGGCTCTTAAGTTCATTTCAGTTCTTTTTGGTTCTAATATTGCTAGGGACGGAACCGCTCCTCAGATAATGATGATTCTCTGAGGAGTTCCACGGCCCCTCCTAGAGAGCCCAGAAAAAAACGTTCCAATATATTTTTGGTCGGACTAGCCGGCTGACCAGCTGGTCCCTCAAGGCCCACTCCAATAAAAAATCCTACCTACCTACGTCCATGCATCTAGGCCTGCACATTACAAAAGTAGGAGTGACCCGGGAGGTCCTTCTTGAGTTGCCGTTGACGTCAGTGCGCCTCCAATCGAGTAGGTTAGAGATGAAATTTACTAAAATACGAAACGTCGTACTTATTCAAATATAGGAAAAAATGGCTTTATGAACGTGTTCTATCATTATCATTGTTATTATCATAATCATACCATTAGCTTTATCATTACTATTACCATTGCTATGTGTTATTATTATTCTACAATATTTCCCATCTATAGTCTATAAAACGAATTAAGTATTCAATTTTCTTTTTATTAAAATAATAAAATACAAAACTAAATTTAAATTATACTAAAGGATAAATGAAAAAAAAATAATAGCAGGCAATATCATGTGACGAGTTTAAATAATTACGTAATTTTGTTATTAACACGTTATGTATCTCCAATATCATTAACCTCGCTGTTGGAAGACCGTTTGTGTATAGACGTTTCCCTTTTTCAGGGCATATAACGTAATATTTATTATTTCTTACTCCAAATGTTATTGGAATAAGCGAATTGCCTTTAGCAATTTGTTTAAATAATTAAAGAAATTATTTTTGTAAGACCAAAATTGCAGTTATATATTATCACTTATGAAAGACATTCAATAATAGTTTTTCAATTTTAAGACATATATAATACGTTCATTACTTTTTTTAGGACGGAGTGCTTTGCTGTAGTTATAGTTACCATTGCGGTAACGATACAGATCCAGTTGGATTCGATGGAATGGTGGCCTCTACTGCATCTGGAGATGGATATATTAGTGGCTTTTCCGGTAATAATACAAAAACGACCTTTGATGTTACTGAACAATATAATAGTGCTCTGCAAATGGGTAGTTACAGTAATGAGTTCGTCTATATCAGTGACTCGTCTAGGGATAACAAGACTGAAAAATCATCAACGAAAGGACCATCAAGAGGATGATATTTTACAGTTTCGGACTAAGCTTACATTCCTCGGCACTTGTGATTCCTTGGTGCAATAGTATTTGTGTTATTTGGCTAATTCTGTCTTCCTAGTTACGTAGCAGGGATTTAATATACTGCAATAGCATCAGCAAATTACAGTATAGGTAAGCAGTTGAAATTTTGAACGATCAAATAAGGGCAAATGTATTCCCCAAATTATAAAACTAATTTAGACAATAACAATAGTAAAATAATATGTTGTACATAAATCTATTGCAAGAAAATGAGGTAAAAAGAATCTTGGAGTAGATAATATAACACAAATTTTATCCACTAGCCTGACTTATTTATTTTATTTTATTCTTCGCATTTTAAATCCTAGCTTATTCGTTGCACAAAATGTGACTTAGATCGTCCTAGAATATATGGTTTTTAAAGAAAAGGGCGTAAACTACCTACATCGAAATCGAATAATTATTATGGAAGTTATTCAAGAACTCACTTCAGAATCATTTTGAGGTTATAAATGTTTTACATTAGTTTGGTAAATTTAAAAAAGTTTTTTGAGTGTATGGTATCAAGAATTTTTAACAAATGTTTTAATCGATGTTTATGCCTATACAGGATGATTCACAACTTATCCAAACAAATTTGGGAATTGATGCGGCATGGGAAATGGAGTTAATAACTTTAAAAAAATTGTAAAATCCTTATAGTTTCCGAGAAAAAAAATTATTGAAGTTATAGTACATTCAACCAATACATAGCTGGACAACTGTAGTCCCTAGCGTCATTCGTAATACGCGTGGAGAGCCATCTGACTCCTAATACTGAAATCCGTCGTTGCGGTAGTTTTTACCTGTTATCTGTGGTGTTTACAACAGTTTTTTAGTAGTTAGTGTCAAAAATGGTTTGCGTGTATAGCAACTCGGAGTTGATGGATATCGTTTTAATTTATGGTGAAGCATTTGTGTTATGGTGAAGCAAGACATCACTTGTGTTAGTTCGTAGAAAGTAAGACGGACCCAAATGTGTTTACACGTGAGTGGATAAAATTTTGAACAATTGTTGTTGTAACATCGGGTATGTCAAATGATTTTATTATTTAAAAACACAAATTAATTTTATTAATTAATAAAGGCAAAATCAGTTGAATTTGCCGATATAAAATAGGTGCTATAAAATTCTATATATTTCTTTCTTTGCGAAAGTTTTTATCCGTTTTTATCACACCGCCATGACGGTCGCATTGTGCTACGTCAAGTTTTACAGTGGACCAGTTTCCAGTTCCGTGCTGAAGTGTATTTTTAAATCAATTTCGAACTGCCCTTTTTGATTTTTTCTTTACAAAATTGTATTTGTAAGGGTCCCCTGTACATCCAGAATTTTTTTTTGGATAAGTTCTGAATCACCCTGTATATTGTTAACAATGAAAAAGGGATAATTAAATCCCGAAAGCTCGAGTAGGTAATAAAAACAGTTCACTTTTATATCAGCAACTTGATTAATTGCAGAAGAAAATTATCAAAAATTTGATGTTTAATAACACTTTAATAGCGATTTCCTGCTAAACGGTTACATTTATCGGCTTGAATAAAGAGTACATAATTTTTTCAGATATTGTTTCTTTTTTCAATGCGATGCGATGTCTAGCAAGAGGAAAAAGGAAAACAAATTTTGAGTTCTAGGTAAGGTGCCCTCTAGCGGCGCATAATGAAACTTTTCTCTGACTAGTCCAATAGAGCGTCATCTGCTTAATGGGTGTGCCAAATGATAGACTAATCAAACTTGAATGAAAAAAGTTATTTAAATAGAAAAATTAAAATAATGAACTTTGACAAGTTGTAACCAACCAGTAATTTCCACATTTCGCCACCTTGTTAGTAAAGGTCCAGTGAAACATATGTTGAACAGTAACCTTATCATTGAAATGAACTCTCTTTCCCTTAACTGGTGGTAACTTCACGTCCATTTCTAACGCTTTTAAATTCAACATTAGCAGGTTTTTTAGTATAACATCACAAGGCGCTTTCTCTTTCTAATAATTTTAGCTATGCATTTGAGAAGCAAATTGAGAAGCAAGGCCGCAGAGCAGGATTCAGTAGTAGAGGTTCAGTAAATTTTTAGTTCAAGCAGAGAAATTCCAGATGAGGCACTACATTATACGTACTTACTTGAGTATTTATTCTCTTGGACTTGAAATACAGAGGTAGATTAGATTAGAAGGTTGATAAAAATAATAGTTGAATGAAAATTGGTTAGAATCTGAGTGGAACGGTTCCGGCAGCACTACGGGTCATTTAATTCATTAATAAAAGGCAGGTTTGTGATCTGTCGATTTCACATGAATACAGATCAATAAATTGTTTTATATATTTAAAGGTCCAACAAATTTAAAAATACAATTGTACAAATCAAAATTTTGAAACCAAATAGTAAAATTCTTGGGACATACATTTGAAGGAATAGTATTAAATCCTGAAAAAGTCGCAGCAATTTTAAAATTCTCAATAGGTACCTAAAACAAAAAAGGAAATCATTTTTAGATTATTCCAAATTAAAGAAACCTATGACTTTATATTTCAAGGTATAAGGTGAAATGTGCAAAAAAAGAGTGCACAAAAGAAATTGTAGATACAGTTTTAATATGTATAAACAATTTTGACCAATAGCCATATTTTAACAGCAAATGCTTCAAAACATACATTGAAAGTATTGCTAAGGAGGAATTAGGTAATAATAGATCTACTATCAAGAACATTGGGCGAATTTGAAAAAAACGTACTCAGTCATTGAAAAAAAAACTATTAGGCTTAGTTTCAACAACCCAGTGTTTTAGACCATACCTGTATGTAATATATATTACAGACCGTTAAGATGGTTACTCTCCTTAAAGGCATACAAAATCCAAATACATAAAATGGAGTGTCAACTTACAAGTAATGACCACATTTATATATAAAAAAGAAAAATTAAATACGACTTATTAGTTTTCATCACCAGTTATCGTTAGTCACCATCATCAGTCATCATTATCAATCATCGTCATCAGTTATCATCATTAGTCATCACCATCAATCATCATCATCATAATCATCAGTCTTCATTATCAGTCTCCATCATCAATCATCATCATCAATCATCTTCATCAATCATCTTCATCAATCACCTTCATCAGTCATCATCATCATCAGTCATCAGTTAGTTATCTCATCAGTCATCGTCATCAGGCATCACCATTAGTCATCTTCAGTCTTCATTATAAATTATTATTAATCATCATCATCATCTAATTTTTGCTGAAAGGACTTCTATAAATAGAGAAATTAAAAATAAGGAATAGTCTCAAACTAAGGTCATTTCAAAGACTGGTTCTTCCTCGATTGTGGCCTGGCTCGATTTTATAAAACATTCAGTATGTAAAATTTAAAAGAATCATCTAGTTGTTAAATCAATTTTTCATCAAATATTAGTAGAAGTAGAAAAAAGTAAAAGGAATAAGGGAAACATTCGGTATTCGAGTATACAGTTTCAAGAAGGGATCTGGTTAGTAAATATAAAATGTTTCACCAAAAGTTTCAACAGCTGCAATAGAAAAAGGTAAAAGACATAAGAAAACGTCTGGTGTCAACAGCTGAGATTTATTGCCCAGTCGCCCAGTTCGGCTGTCCGTGTGCGCATTCTTCTCAAATATTTCAATGCCGAGTTGCTGCGGCAGCGACCGAACCACTTGGTTCTTCAATTGAGATCAGAAATACTATAAATGAGGATGTCTTTCATTAAATGTGTGACACATCCTGTTCAGAATCTTGTTACATTCGTCATAAATAAATATCACTATTCGAATAATTATTTACTTAATCCATTTTTAGGAACACAGGACATAGTCTATATTTTCATAGGTAACTATGAGTTTCTTACACAAAACATGATTTTTGGCATTTTAAACAGAGAAGCGGCGATAAATCAGAAACCATCAGGAACTATAGCAACTCTTGTATATACTGACATAGATTTTTCTAGTCAATTCAGAAATTTCAAAATATATAGGGTGTTCCATTAAAACAGAATGTTTTATTTTCCTCGGGTTTGTCAATTAGTTTTCAGGACCCCATATAAAACTGATTAATTTTGAAAACAACGTAAAGAACCCCATGACATCTACTTTCATTGACCCCAAAATAAAGAAACAGTGCTGCATGAAATTTTTTAAGCTTGAAAAGGCTAATTTTAAATATGAAAAATTTTAAATATAGAATATGGCTAATTTTAAATATGGAAAAGTTTATACAAAGCGATCCAAAAATTTAACCTAGAATTCAAAAATGCAATAATATACTCGATGTTCCATTAAAATAACAAAGTTTGTGGCAACTTCCGGTGTAAGCGGAAGTGCAACAGTTTTGAAAATATTTTCATTGAAAAGTTCATGGCCGGTAATATGGGAATTCAAATTTTCAACAAAATCCTATCATGGTGACTTCATATCCTTCTAATGAACCAGTTGCGTGAATAGCCCTGTATATTGTCGCAAAAACTTTTGCTTGAAATATAGTAGGAAACCTCCCCAGACTGTAGCTTAACAGTCTGAGTCCATATATTCCTGCATCCGTCCATCTGGCCATTTTGGAGCCAGCCGTAAACCATACCATTTTTTCACGGTATTAAACTTTCCCTTCCATTTGCTTTGATCGAATAAAAATGCGAGGCTCAAATGGCTTTTAGAAGTGAAACCTTGGAACCATTTCTAGAATTGGTTCCGACATAGATGTGTCCATATTCCTGGAATGGGGACAACATCTCCAGTCGTTATTGTTCTTAAGTTGGTATGCTGCTAACCAGGTTTCTTTTGCCACCAGTATATGAAGCAGTGGTAGATTTAGTATGACTTCTCGCGCAGCTGTCGCGGAAACAGGGCCCATGTTCTACCGATAAGGCGAAGCCATACACATAATGTCTGCTATGAAAACATTTTATTAAAATTAAAAATAGGAATGTGATATGAATAAATAAAAAAATTCGGTAATAGTTGTTCACATTATTGTTGTTTATGTAACAGACAGCACATTGTCACTCGTAATCTGGATATAGATAGCTAAGACAAAGTCTAAGCAAGCATCCAGGCAAGTACCGATGTGAAGGCAGCAGCCAAAGTTAGCATGAA